CCCCCACATAGTAGGCCATCTTTCATGAACTGCCTAATCCCCAACCTATTCCTTGATTTGACAGTGTGTCCGTCAACAGCAATATTCTGCGATGGCTGGTACAGTTGTTGATGCAGTTTATTGCTGTAGTCTTAGTGACAGGATCTACCACTGATATTCAGAAATGCCATAAGCAGGCCTCGAATTTCCCTGAAATCAATCGACGGCATTGGCGTTAAAAATTGCCGTAGAACGTAACAGCTGTCTACGGCAATTTTGGCATTTTCCACGGCATTTTTCAAATGACTGTAATAAAACTTTAATTTTATTGTTACTTTGGATTTTTGACAAGCTAGAAACATGTCTACGTATTTCTTTGGTGTTTTTTTTTTTCGAAGAAAACTGAGAGTAAAATAGTGATTTACGCATGATTTGATCAACATCTGAATTCAAGTATCAAAGAAGTAATGCACAGTGAATAGTATAAAAATTACACTATAGGCAAAAAATTACCGTCGTTGCCGCAATGATCTACGGCATTTTGTTCTCCCTGTACGGCAATTGCCGCGATTGCCGCGATAAAATTCGAGCCCTGACCATAAGCGCTTTGTACCCAAACCAAGAAATTATTTGAATTGCCCACAGACCATGATATAAGGTTTTATACTCCAATAATTTTCAATCTCACTATCGACCTTTACCAAACCTGCATATACTAAAAAGGCAATCAACCTCTCAATCTCTTCAAGGTTGGTGGACTCCAAGACCCTTCTTTATTAGTATATGGGGATGATTTTTGGGTTATTTGTATGTGGGCATATGTATTGGTATGGCCGGAAAACTACCTCCTGAAGCATTCTCTTAGTAAAAAGAGCCGAATGAACTCAAGTTTATAGTTCATACTTCTGGTGAAAGCTTGATCGAAATGGATCCCGGACATGTCGGTGAGGGGCAAAATCTGGGAGAATATCCCTAGTGTCAGGATCACCACATCCGTCATGTACTATGGGGCCTAGTGGGGGTGCTAGATGGGGAGCTTTCAAAACCTTGGGTCCTAGTGGCTGGGCTTTCCTCTACCTCCAGTCATCGCCCTACCTTCCCTCTACACTTACACGTTTTCCTAATGGGGGTTGGGGAGTGGGGTTCTCATGACTCATCAGAACTGCTACTTCACTGAGGCTATGAAACAGGAACAGCAGCTAAGAACAAGATCAATATCTTCGTCACTGCGAATAAAAACATTTTTTATAGACATAATTTACATGGAGCCAAACTAGTAAGACATAATTAAGTATGAATACTTGGTCTATTATGTACGTAACAAACAACCAAACATGTGCTCAAGGCTCATTTTACTTTGCGTAGGAATCAGAGTTATTTTTGCCTAAAACACCATAAATTTTCGTCAACAATATAAATAAATACCATTTATATTTGTCAATTTCAGTATGGAAGGATTATTTCAAGATAAAAAATGCGATATGAGGACATACTTGGTCGTACTAGTGAAGCTATACTAAATGCAAATAAATTTACAACGCCATGGCAACGGCAAAACATTGAAATGGAATGTCTAAAAATGATCAAAATACTTGCCTTAAAACTCCAGACACGACTCCCAATGCCAGGTTGAGATACTTGTCTTCGTACGAAGACATTCCATCATTACTAGCACTATCAGTTTGCAAATTAAGGCCAAAAGCGTCTTGAAGATGCGATTCAAACAATACAACAAGACGCTCTATGGAGCGTTAACTCGCTGGGACTGAGGTCGGGAATCTTCGAGTTAAGCCATTCGAGTTAAGCCCCTCGAGTTAAGCCCT